TTTTTTCTTTTTTCTTCTTCTGCAGGTTACCAAAGCTGCAAATTATAATATCAATTTTACATTACACTATTATGTTAAACAACAACAACAAAAAAATGCTGTTTTCTTTCAAAATGGGTCACCATGAATTTTTTTTTTATGGAAGTAACCCTGAAAAAGTTATGCAGAACATGTATTTGCTTGTGGAAGGGGAAAGGAAATCCATATATGCTATTAAACAAGAAAGGAAATATTTGGTGATCAGTTTTCAGTGATGCAGTCAAAGAAGAGCCACCAAATCAAGCTAAACAAATTGTAGTATTTCGATATGTAGATAGATTTTTTTTTTTTTTAATGTAGATGTACTTTAGGGAAACTACATAGCAGTAACACAAAGCTTTAAGCGGGGTCAAACCGTATACCTAAGTGCAGTACCTCTCCTGTGATTATATGGGCGAGCTGTGAGCATCCGTTACGGTAACCGGCAGGCGATAAAGGTGGCCGGCCCCTTCCTGCCCAGCGCCTTCTCCTTCAGTGCGCTGCACGACAGGAGGGTCCGGCACGTGTTGCTCTGGTGGTGACAGTGCGTTTCTGTGTCTCTGCTCCTGTGTTCTTAGGCAATAAGCACATGCCAAATGCATTCAAAAACAGTGGCAGGAGGATTGGGCCATCACTTCTCAAGAGGGTAGAAACTACTGTTTTAGGGAATTGCTGTTTTCCTGAGAGTTTTCAACTATAAATATCGCACTTCGGAGTAATGAGTAGGAAATTTCCAGTAAAATGAAGTCATGGAAGAACAGCCAAAATGTTTCTCTCTAGCTCGCTGTTACTGACTAAAGGCTAAATTGAGAATTCACACCTGACTAAAGGCTAAATTGAGAATTCACACCTGATATTTTTGATGTGCATATATTTTGCATTTGAATATTTATAGTGCTGTACATTGTGGGACAAATATTTTTTCACAAGATTAAGTTCACTGATAAAAACATTCTTATTTATGCCAAGATTCTGTCCTCTACACATCATCTTTCGTTTAAAAAAAAAAAATCCAAACCAGTCTTATGATCAGATATTGCCCAGCACTACCTTGCTTCATGTAGAATTTGCAGTAGTGCAGTTTCTTGTAACTTTGTGTTTTTATCCGGACAAACTGGTCTTAATATTAAAATTTATTAAGAAAAAGCCATTGTGCTGTTTCTTATTACTGTTAGTTTGCACATCATAACATAGAACAAAACTGATCTGGGTTAGATCACATAAGCTACTTTAGAAGAACTACAGTTCATATTACATTGATTTGAAATCAGTTCTCATTATTAAAGAAAAATTAAACTGCTGTACTTGCTTTAGCACTGCTTTACAGGTCCTGGATGAAGTGAAGTTTGTTGCTGGACTATCCACTGTAAAAATCCCATCTCATCTCCTTACTTGCAACCTTGTCTTGGGAAAGAAGGTGAAGGATGTATAGAACAAGAACTGTTTCTAACTTCAGTAGTCTATATTATTGTCTTGTGTCCCCTCTGGCATAGGAACTCGACAGTAAGTGTGTGAACTCTTCGCTCTTACGGCAGCTGACCAGCTCTGTGGCTTCCCTGTGTGCCAGAGTAATGCAGCATGCAGTGGTCTCATGCTACTCCTCAAAGGGGGGAAAATGCCCCGGGTGGCTTTTACCACTGGGCGTGCTAACCGTGGATCTTGGAGAGGGA